ACACGCAGGAGCAGGAGCGCTCTGGCTATCGTCTGAGAAACCCCCGCGTAACCGGTGCTCACAAAGATTTGTTTTCTTCTGATAGTTGTGCAGTTCAGGCTCTTACATGTAGGTCTTTTACACATTTTGAGTACATGTTGTGTGTGCTATGAAGTAGGAATCCAGCGTCATCCTTTTGCATGTGGTAGCAAATTGTTCTAACACCATGTGTAGTATTAAATTAAATTGGCGATGGGGGAATGGGGTGCCAGCCCCACCCGCTACTAGAACTCACTGGTTCAGTAATACTACTTCTGGGTTCAGTAATGCACAATTGTACGGTTGAGATATATAAGCATTATATTAAAGTCATCGAGAGCATGAGAGATAAAACAATAACACAGTCAGACATATTACATGGTAGCATTGTTCACCTCCACCCCGCTTGGTGGTCCTCGTGGGGGAACCCGGCTGCCAGAGCAGGAGCCACCCCCCTCGCGGGAGCAGCCCTCTCGTCCACCGCCCCCATGGGAGCAGCCCACACGGGAGCAGCTCTCCTTCCTCAGCCGCCCTTTGCCAGCCGCCCTCGGCCAGCCACCTCGAGAACCAGGGAGCCTCCTTATTTATTGCTAACCACGCATCATATCACTTTAGGGGGATACATCACAGCATCATGCATCACAGAGAGGGGCAATACAATTCACAACAACCTGCGTCATAGGGAGGGATTGCAACATAGGCAATACAAGCAATAGGAGGGGGATGACCTAGTCATCTTAGAGTGGTCCTGGGCTTGCCTTTGGGCGCTGCTTCAAGGGAACAATAACAGAAAGGAATGGGTCCTATTTGTTGTGGGATAAGCAGTGGTGTCTGCTTGATCTAGATAGCTGATATCTCTCAGTGAGAATGACTCCCAATCCATTCTTGATGGTTGATGTTAGGAAGAATAACCTCTGACCTACTTTCGCTGCCTAGTGAACAATTATTTTCAAGCTAAGTCTGGCATATATTTTGGGGAGACAACTTAAGAGAAATCCTTCTGTTCCCCACAACCACGTGTTGAAAACAGATTCTTTGCTCTTTTGCTGTCTTGGCACTCCTACTCATAACAAGTCCGGAGTTCAGATCTTGCCAGTATAACTCTCTCTTGGTTACGGTGGCACTGTATTGCGTCTTGAAGTCACTAACTGATTCTTCCAACTTCATTCTTTTCTAAGATCGTTAAGGTTGTACAGGTTTCCTTGCATTTCCATATGATTTTACAAGTCAACTTCTGCCAAAAGCAGCTGAGATTTTTATAGGGATTTCATTGAACCTGAAAATCAGTATTTTAGTACTAGTTAAGTTTTTAGAAACACTTTAGGAGCATTCATGTTAAGGGTGAGTTACGGCTAAGCCATGCATTGTAAGTAGCCAATCTATATTTGTTTCTCAGTACCTATTTCAGATGAAATGGATGTCATAAATTTCAGCTTGAATCAGATGGAAAACGGTCGCTTTATTGTGCGCTTATACTGGATGATCGTTTTCCCTGTGATTTTATTTTCCAACCCTAGTGATAATAACAAATAATGTTCTGGTCTGAGGCTGAGAGAATTTTTCCCGTGAGAGAAATGTAGTAGATTAATGTCTCCAGCAATCGATTTCATCATCAAAGCTCTTTTCGAAAACCTTCCATTTTCATACCTTTCCTCAGAGAGAAACCGGAAGGGGGCAAAGTGAGTCCGTTCAAAAACGTTTCATGATTTCTTCTTTGACCCCAGATTTCTTGGATGTATCTCCAGGAGTTGGGAGAGTTTAATCTCCAGGAGTTAGGGGAGTTTCTACTGCCTCTAATTGGCTTCCAGGTCATTTCCACAGTGGTCAGAGAACATATTCTGCATGACTTAAATCTTTTGAGAATTTGCAAGGCTTCTTTATGGCCTACTAGAGAAATAAAATAGTAGACAATAATAGCGGAAATAAATGAAGTGAAATGTTTTCCTGATGGTGTCGTTTGGGAAGGGAGTTAAGGTACCACATTTATCTTAGATATTTTTGTAAGTGAAGCACACAATTTCAAATCTCAAAGGTCACCACTAAAAGAATATAAATATGTGAATTCTAAGCCGCTGGGCAGAAGAAAAATGGAATGAGGAGAAAAGCAACAAGGAAAAACAGGAGCATAGAACCAAGAAAGACAGAAAAAATCCAAGAGAAATAGAAATTCAAAAGCTGTAAAACCAAGTTAAGTAGCTCAACCTTCAAATAAATATAATGGATGGAACTTACACTTGTTATGAGATTGTCAGACTCCGTTTTAAAAATCTTACTCTGTGCTGTTTTTAAAGAAGATAAGGACACCCCCAAACAAAACCCAACAACAATAAACACGGCCAGGGAGTTCTTGCTGGCTCATCGTGACGCCCTGCGGGTTTCTGAGGCTGTAACTGTTCACTGGGGTAGAAAGCCCAGTCTTTCTCCCACAGAGCAGGTGGTGGTGGTTGGGCCCAGAAACAGTCATTGGGTAGACGGGAAAGTGCTCTGCAGAGAGGATCCTGTAGATGGTGGAGAGGGCAGGGGCTCCTCACTCAGTGGTGCTGGGACGAAGAGGCACCCCGATGGCGGGCTGGCACAGTGCTGCTTACCCACACAGGAAAACAGTGAATTAGACCCGGCCACATTGCATAAAATTGAAGTTCCAGGTGCGACACTTAAAACTGAAAAGAAGAAAATACAAGAAACTCTTTTTGAGGTATTATTGGTAGGTTACAAAAATAAAAGCCAAATCAAAACAAATATTAATTAATAAAAAAGTGACAGTCCAACAGGATAAAGGCCCAAAGACATGAACCAGCACATCACAAAGAAGGTGACACTTGCTGAATGCCCTTGTTTACCAGGGGAAGGTAAAGGACGAGTCCAATGAGTTTTTACAGAGAAATTGAGGTGCCCTGGTAGCACAACACTGCTAACCAAAAAATCAGCGGTTCAAATCCTCTGACCAGTCCTTGGGAGGAAGATGTGGAGTTTGCTTCTGTAAAGATTATAACCTTGGAAACCCAATGGGTCCATTTTTCTCTGTCTTTTAGGGTTGTTTTTAGAGTAAGGTGACGAGATTTTAACATTGGTAAGGTGGGACACCATTGGTAAAACTCATATCCTGGCGAAATAGCCACATGGCAGCCGAAAACCGTATACCCTATCTTGTCGTGCATTCTTTCCAAAAATTGGGACTTTTTAAAAACACCACGGGACGTGGGAAAAATTGTTAAAAAGCGGGATGTGTGGTCACCTTATTTTAGAGTCATCGTTGACTTGGGTTTGGTTTAAGACGGACAGATTTAGGATGCTTGACACTACGAAGTGCAGCAAAGAAAATGCTGGGTAGAAACTCTTAAGGTTTGTTTGTGGACGTGAAGATTGGTAGAACCACATAGCTTTTGCCACATCAATGTGAACATTCTCCTACCTTGTTACCCAGCGACCCCACTCCTACGCATGTAGTCAAGAGAAGCTGTCTGTTCAGAAGAGCAGAAAGCTGGAAATGGCCAAAATACCCACTGACTAGGGGCTAGGATGTCAGCAGGAGAAATGAATGAGTTTCAAGGATGCAAGGCTAATCTTAGAGAACCAGTGGTGTTGACTAAACACAGCAAGTCCCAGGAAACTCCTGCAGTATGTTACCATTCCACTGTTGGCGAGCTCAAATGCAAGCATGACTACCCAGTATTGTGTTGTTGTCATCCACCACCCCCACCCCAGTCACTTTATTGAGATAGATGCCACACGTCACACACACCTATAGTTGTCACATTTAAAGAGTGGTATGTACATATCGCCCCAATCAGTTCTAGAACATCTTCCCCTCTCTATTGATTATTTGCTCCCCGCTTCCCTCCAGCCTCCCTCCTCTCCATCCCTGATAAGCCCTTACACCAATTATTTTCTCTACATGCATTCATTCTGTGTATACTGGAAAACTTACCACCCAAACCCCAGTGTTGTATATAGGTTTGCATGTATGCACACACACACACACACACACCTGTAAAACTGCCCACAGGGAAGAAAGGAGAAGGGCTGGGGAGGAGCTTATGGGCTGATGGATGTTGTTCTTGGGCAGGGTAATAAGTGTGCAGGTGTTCATTATGGCGTACTTTATAACATCTGTCAGGAAGGATAACACATGTGAAAAGGCTACAGATTATTTCTTAAGGAACATCACCGAATTATCTAAAGAATGATCATGGCTGCAGAAGTACCAATAAGAAGACAGGGAGCACATTAATGTTCGTGCTGTCCATTGATGTTAGTGTGAATAATGGTTTCTCTTCCTGTCTACTTTTCTCGGTTTAAAAATGCTGCTTTCATGGGGATGTGTAAGTTTCATGGGCAAGGAAAATACCAATTTTGATTTTACATGAAATAATTAATTTTGACCAGAGTTTTGGTGTTCACAGATAGTGCATCTCTGATACCTGGGTTTAGGAAAAGGCAGTGTAAATCCTAAAGGAAAACCAGCCCCTTGAGATTGTGTTTTCATTGGTGTTTTCTACATACCCTCGATGTGGCCATTATTCTGACTTCCCTTTGGAGCTCTGTAAAAAGTCTTACCAGTGATTCAACAACGCAGTTGCTTCAGACAGCTGTCCTGTAGAATCCCATAAAAGCAAACAAAATTAGAATGAAATTCGAGGATAATGCGGTTCGTTAAGATGAGTGAATTCTTGGGTTGGTTATTCCCTGTTACATAAAACGAACATTTTTCTTTGTGAAGCTTTTGTAGAAAGTAAAAACACATTAATAAACATATGTCATAATTTGGCTTTATGAGGGTTTCCAGGGTAGCAGAAACTCTTACTCTTTCATGTTTATTTTGTGGATGTGTGTGAACATTTATTGCTCCTAAATTGTCAGAGATCCCTGGGATTTAGTAAAGTGACTCTCGGCCTTGGAGTGCTTTGCCTTTATGAGGGAGGGAGAGAGAGAGTTTTTAAACTTTATTCCTAACCTGGTGAAACTTTTTTCTGTTTTAGCAGGTTCTTGTCATCCAAACAAACATCATTCAGCAGTGGCCAGAGTACTGCGAGAGGGAGAAGATAGTTCTTCCTGCAACAAACGGTACAGCCAAAGCATGGTGACCGCTGAGCTCCAGCGGCTCGCCGAGAAGCAGGCGGCCCGGCAGTATTCGCCATCCAGCCACATAAGCCTGCTCACCCAGCAGGTACGCGGTAGGATTCATGACTGGGGACTTTGTCTCGCGTTGTCCTGATGGACTCCCAGCTTCTGCTGACTCGTGAGTGGTTCCTAGTTGATTTTGAAGGGGACTAATGTGCTCCTCCAGCTGTGAGGAAGATGCCTTTCTGTTACAGGCGTTCCAAAGTTAGTCCACTGCTGGCCATGGTGTTCCTACTTCATGCATGATTGGCCCAAGATTCAGCATATAAATGCACACTTATTTATTTATTTTAAACATCATTTTATTGGGGTCTCATACAGCTTTTTTGGTTTGTTTTTTTTGACATTGTAACTTTTTCTTTGAGCCTGGTGAGCTGGCTGGCTCCTGGAGGGTGGAGCTAGCAGGCCTAGCCGCAGAGGAGTGGGGGTGGGGGTGAGGGTGGCAGCCTGAACCAGGGGTGGAGCCCAGTTGGGCCGACCAACTGTGACCAAAACCCCCTGCCTGGCCTGGCCTGACCTAGCCCCCTGTGCTTCCTGTCCTCAGGGTGGGGCCCAGAGGGCCCCCTGGCCCGCCATCTCAGGGCTTTGGGTACATAGTCCAGCCTGTGCCCCTTGTCCCATGCCCTGAGGCCAGGCAACCAGGGTGAAGGGTGGCTGGCTCCGTAGGGCTTTTATGCTTTTCTCTTGTCAGGTTTTGTATCATAATTTCTATATTGTCCCCCCGAGTGTCAGGACTATAATTTATTCATTTCTCTTTGTGTCTGTACCAAGAAGCCCAGGGTCTGGGCCTGCCCCATCATCTCCTGCCCTGCCCCTTTTGCCCAGGAGGCCTCGCCAGGCTGTGTGCTCTTGGGAACACCTTGTACCTGAGCCTAGGGGTGCCAGTAAAGAGGCTCTCTTTAAAAAAAAAAATCATTTTATTGGAGGCTTGTACAACTCTTATCACAATCCATACATATATCCATTGTGTCAAGCACATTTGTACATATGTTACCATCATCGTTTTCAAAACATTTTCTTTCTATTTGAGCCCTTGGTATCAGCTCATTTTTTCCTCCCTCCCCCACCTACCCTCCCTCCCTCTCTCATAAAATCTTGATAATTTATAAATCATTATTATTTTTTCATGTCTTACATTGACC